ATCTATCTATCTATCTATCTATCTATCTATCTATCTATCTATCTATCTATCTATCAATCAATCTATCTATACTTTGACTTATTTCGTCTGTAAACGTGAAGGAACACTTAGAGCTGTCGGTTTCAATTGTCTGCAGCGCTACACACACGATATTTGCACTCTCGAGCTAAATTCTACTTCAGTCTGATACAGCCGTCTGTCCTGTAATCAAGCTTTCTATCCTTTTTTTCCCTTTTAACCGTCTAAAACGTAAATCCAAGAAACGCATTATTGTAACTTTTCCTGCAAACTTCAAGATAACGTACTTCACTTTAAGCATTTAAGAATACATGTATTACATTTTTATTCATGGTTTCGCTCATAGTCAACAATGGAGAATGCTATTGTTATCTTGGTTAAAAGATTATACCCAAGAGGCAGCATGGTGAAATCAGATGCTCGTAAGAATAATGTAATCAATCGTCAATTTTCTAGCGGTAGGTAAATTATTTACGAACTTTCTTGTGGTATTTTTTAGCTCAACATCTTCTATGTACGTTTGATAACACATTTTTACGTGGATGTTACTGTAAAACGTTGATCAAAGGCACAACAAATGTAAATTTCCAGTTTCCACTGACACCCAAGCTATGGAAATCATCAGGATTTGGCGGCCATTTACTCACCTTTGACACTAGGCAACCCTCATCTCTTTCAACTGCAAATATCTTGACTTCTGTTCAAGGTAGTTAGGTGTTTTGTTCGCCAAATGCAAGACAAATGAACACGCTTTTAGATGATACTAATAACTCATTATGCCCAAAATTTGGCGAGCGCCTGATTCCATCGAGTTATGACTCAAATAATAATACTATTTCGTCGACCTTATCAACAGTTTTACCTGGGGCACTCCCACGAGAGATAAGCTTGTGCAGATTGTTTTAGCTCAAAATGTTTGGCCTCACACTCATACTCTGTGAATATGAAGTCACTATTAACGAGGACTGACCTCCGAAATTTTGGAGGTAAGGACACTTAAATAATACAGGTATATGCAATATCAGAATGTTAGCATACCAATGTGCACAAAGGTAGACGTAAATTATTTCCAATAAAAATAACATAATAGCTTTGAAAATATTAATAACAACATGATCACATGAGAAACCAGATTGCACTCCAAATATTCGCAATTCAAAGCTCCCTGCATCTGAAACACCAGTGTAATACCCGCCCAGGTGATAAGTAATAACTATAATACTTATATTTTCCTCGCTGTAGAGTATTTAAATCAAAATCCGTACACAGAATTAAACATTGCATATTATTGTATCGGTCACAAAAGGCAGCTCTATATAAAGTGAACGTTAACTTTTTCTGCTGGCAAAAAACCCCCCAAACAAACAAAACAAGAAACAAATAACAATAAAACAACAATAACAGCAACAACAACAACAAATCAAAAAAACGAAAATCTACAAACAAACTAAGAAACCGACACAAATAAAAATACAAACCAAAACATACTTTCTTTTTAAACCCCGACGAGTCGGATACTTTTAACCTCAAATCAAATTATCACACACACACACACGCACACATATACCAATTACCCTACATCACAGCTAGTAAAATGCTGTAACAGTAGCATTCCTACTGTTTATCTTACAAACAAACAAAATGGCCACATTTCTGCTTTGCCCAATGACGTCTATATACTGCCAGCTCACCTCCGCCACTCTCTGTATTACTACTGCAGCCCTGTTGGACTCCATGTCGTCTAGTCAACTTGAGGGGTTTCTGTCATTTATTTATAGAAGCCTCCGGCTTCCATTATGTCTGCCTTTGTATTACTTTCTATCATTCTTTTATTCTAAAGCGACGTGCCTCTCTGCAACTCATTAGTGATCTTGTCCATTTGGATCAGACTGCAGATAGCTAATGCAGCTACAAACAGAAGAAGAGCGTCGAATGGTGATGTGTGTGTGTATGTGCGTGCGTGTGTGTGCGTGTGTGTGTGTGTGTGTGTGTGTGTGTGTGTGTGTGTGTGTGTGTGTGTGTGTATTTGTGTGTGTTGGGGAGGGGGGGGGGGGGACGTACACATGTGCACAATTTTTTTCTTAACGTAGGTTAGTCTTTCTAATACTTTTTATTTTGGATTTTCAGAAATAAAAGAAAAACAAACAAACAAAAAAACCAAACAAACCCAGACAAACAAAATACAAACAAACAAACAAACGATCAAACAGTATAGCTGTACAATCGCTAATTATAGTCATGTTTTTATTGAGTGAAAATGAAGGATATTCTTAAAATACAGAAATTGATATAAAAGCCTTATACTGGGGCATTAACGATTTTAAAGCCACCCTTAGCATCGTGAACATGGCTTTTCAGGGACCTCCTATACGAGAGATCAGATATCGGACTCACTCAACTCAAGGAGAAATCACATGGAAATGCTTTCGCCATTGGAAGTTGGCTGACCTTTTAGACTTCCTCAGTTACTTATAAGGCTTCGCTTCTTCTTTCCTTCTTACTTCTCCCCCATGGTGTTTCTCTCTGGCCATCCTATTAACTTCTAAGTCTCTGAAAGGTTAGGTACCGGCGTTCTTGGAGTAGCAGTTAGGCACTTCGCTGTCGCACACAGAAGACCACAGTCTGTTTCTCGAGTAGGGAAAATTCTTATCAAGTATTTCGGTCTTTCTGCTGGAATGTTATATCCCTTTCAGCCCCGGTTGGCCCTGACAGGCAGGGTCAAATCCTGCCTCCAAATTAATATAAGTTGTGTC